CATCCACACCCACCCTCTGTCAAAGTATACCATGTCCACACCACCACCCCTCTGTCCAAGTATACCACACCCACCCCTCTGTCCAAGTATACCACGTCTACTGCCATCCCTCTGTCCAAGTATACCACATCCACAGCCAGCCCTCTGTCCAAGTATACCAGGTCCACCACCAACCCTCTGTCCAAGTATGCCACTCCACAGCCACCCCTCTGTCCAAGTATACCACATCCACAGCCATCCCTCTGTCCAAGTATACCACATCCACCACCACCCCTCTGTCCAAGTATACCACGTCCACCACCACCCCTTTATCCAATATACCACATCCACAGCCACCCCTCTGTCCAAGTATACCACGTCCACCCACCCCTCTGTCCAAGTATACCAGGTCCACCACCATCCCTCTGTCCAAGTATACCATATCCACAGCCACCCCTCTGTCCAAGTATACCAGGTTCACCACCACCCCTCTGTCCAAGTATACCACGTCCACCGCCACCCCTCTGTCCAAGTATACCACGTCCACCGCCACCCCTCTGTCCAAGTATACCACGTCCACCGCCACCCCTCTGTCCAAGTATACCACATCCACACCCACCCCTCTGTCCAAGTATACCACATCCACCACCCACCCCTCTGTCAAAGTATACCACGTCCACCACCACCCCTCTGTCCAAGTATACCACATCCACAGCCACCCCTCTGTCCAAGTATACCAAGTCCACCACCACCCCCCTCTGTCCAAGGTTTTGCTCACCTCCTCATAAAAAGAAATCAGATTTGTGTTTTTTACAATATTTGTTTCCAGCAAGAACTCCTCTCTGTGGTCTTTTATGAAACTCTCCAGTATCTTCCCAACTATAGAAGTTACACTAACAGATTTATAATTACTTGGGAAAGATTTTGATCCCTTTTTAAATATTGGCCCCACATTGGCTTTATGCCAATCCAGTGGTACTATGCCAGTCATTAAAGAGTCCCTAAAAATGAGAAACAATGGTGTGATGGGAGTCACTTTGTGTGGGGGGCCCATGGAACACAGCTCACTTTGGAGAGGTGAGGAGACCCCTGTCTCAGCTCTCCATATTATGTGTAAGTCACACTGTGCCTGTTAGGGGTACAGGGTGATCTGTCCTAATATTTGTGTAGACATGTATAGGTGGGGTGGGGTTGTGGATTGTTTGGTGTTATGGGGCTGCATCCCATTGTTCTGTTATTTGTCAGGCTTGGGAGTAAACTATTATGGGATGTATGTTGGTTTATGTGTATTGGCTTGGTGGGGGGTATCTCCAGCAGCCCTCCCTCCTGGTGGGACTGTGTGCTGGTGTATCTCTTGTTACTAAATGTAGATTGCCCTGCCCTGTGTCATTATACAGGGAGGGGGGATTGTCCCCTGAGTGTATATATATTGTATCTATGTTCAAATAAACTAGTCTACCTCCTGGTTTACTTCAAGACTGGTTTTGTCCAGTCTTGTATGGTCTGCTATGGTGTCTGTTGTCGGTGTTCACACAGAGAAGTGGTATTCTAATGGAAGTACCCAAGTGCTGTCTAGTGTTGGTTCCGTTACATTGGTGGCAAGAGGTGGGATTGTGCTTCTTGGCTGGGAACATGTCCAAACCACCACCAGGATTCAAGATCAGGAAAGTAGACGTCGGTCACCCCAGTGGAGATATGGACCTGGCATCAGAGTTCTCAGGGCTGCTGCAGATCATTCTTGCAACATACCCCAGGACTGTGTCTGCAGATGAGTACCTGGAGCTCAGGCAGCAGATTTGGGAGGTGCTTTGAAGTGGAGCCCTCCAAGTTGCTGGTAGGTACAAGGACAAGTGCTAACCAACCCCAGGGGAATGTACCAGGGACCATTGGAAGTTACGGATGCCATTCCTGGGACAGCAACCCCAGGAGCAATGGGTGACTGAGTTGGACAGGCTGGTCCAGCAGGAGATAGAGCTGGACAACCGATATCGAGCTCTGCAATGGTATGTAAATATGTTAATGAGAGAAGGAAAAGATAACTGAGTGACCTCGGGATAGACACAAAACCTTTGAAGTGTCTATTCAGAGAATAATCATTAACATGAAACTGTGAGCTGCTGCAATAAGACGTGTTATGTGCATTCTCACCAATCAGAGCAGAAGACCAGACTTTAGTTTGGAGAAAGAGGATAGCAGGGGGAAGGGGGAGGGAGAGGATTTATCAGCAGGAAGATGGTAAGGAAGTAAGGAAAAGGGAGAGGTAGAGCTATGTGAAGAAGAAAAAAAAGAACTAAGGGTTACAGAGTGTATGACGACATTGTCCCCACTATCTAGCCTATTAAGTGGTGGATGTTGGAGGTAAAGCAGAGGGGCCAAGATAAACTCTGATCCATTGTAAGAAGGCCAGACAAATGGAAAAAAGGAATTGGGAGAAACACAACAAAACACCCCAGCTGTAATCAAAGGGGAATCATGGAGAGTAGGATCTGTCCAGTACTTGGCGGGGACATCCGGTATTCCTGAGTAATGAGTAGGAACATACATGACCATAAGGATGTGGAGATCTGGATGTGTGACAATGTGGGCAGAAGACATCAGCTGTGTGTGTTGCTAGGACTGATTGTAGACCTCCACAAATGGAGACCAGAACAGGCTGAAAAAAGTAAGGGAGATCAGTGCGGATGTCTACACTGTGGGCTCCCAGCTGATTGGTCAATGAAGCCAAGTCAGTATAGCCAAGTCAGACAGCTAGACATGAAGGTGGCCTTCTCAATCCCTTCTTGGTATGAAAGCCGTGGAGACTAGGTGGTCAGACTTGGGAGTCCTGTAGTGGAGAAGTACATTCTGCCAGGACCACGTCTAGGGCTGGGGGTAGGAGTAAAGCTGAGGTCTCACAATGGGGAATCCAAAGGTGGGAATGTTGCATGCTGGACTCTGAGCTTACAGTGATGATAAAAGCCAAAGGTCTGCTCTGAGGTTAGAAGAGGAGAGGAGGAGAAGACAATCCGAAGGTCTGCTCTGAGGTTTGGAAGGAGAGGAGGAGGAGGAGGACAATCCAAAGGTCTGCTCTGAGGTTAGGAAGGAGAGGAGGAGGAGGACAATCCAAAGGTCTGCTCCGAGGTTAGGAAGGAGAGGAGGAGGAGGACAGTCCAAAGGTCTGCTCTGAGGTTAGGAAGGAGAGCAAGAGGAGGACAATCCAAAGGTCTGCTCTGGTTAGGTTAGGAAGGAGGAGAGGAGGAGGACAATCCAAAGGTCTGCTCTGAGGTTAGGAAGAAGAGAGGAGGAGGACAATCCAAAGGTCTGCTCCGAGGTTAGGAAGGAGAGGAGGAGGAGGACAATCCAAAGGTCTGCTCTGAGGTTAGGAAGGAAAGCAAGAGGAGGACAATCCAAAGGTCTGCTCTGAGGTTAGGAAGGAGAGGAGGAGGACAATCCAAAGGTCTGCTCTGAGGCTTAGGAAGAAGGAGGAGGAGGAGGAGGAGGAAGGAGAGGAATCAATCAAAGGTCTGCTCTGAGGTTAGGAAGGAGAGGAGGAGGACAATCCAAAGCTCTGCTCTGAGGTTAGGAAGGAGAGGAGGAGAGGACAATCCAAAGGTCTGCTCTGAGGTTAGGAAGGAGAGGAGGAGGATGACAATCCAAAGGTCTGCTCTGAGGTTAGGAAGGAGAGGAGGGACAATCCAAAGGTCTGCTCTGAGGTTAGGAAGGAGAGGAGGAAGGAGGACAATCCAAAGGTCAAAGGTCTGCTCTGAGAAGGAGAGGAGGACAATCCAAAGGTCTGCTCTGAGGAGGAAGGAGGAGACAATCCAAAGGTCTGCTCTGAGGTTAGGAAGGAGAGGAGGAGGACAATCCAAAGGTCTGCTCTGAGGTTAGGAAGGAGAGGAGGAGGACAATACAAAGGTCTGCTCTGAGGTAGGAAGGAGAGGAGGAGGAGGACAAATCCAAAGGTCTGCTCTGAGGTTAGGAAGAAGAGGAGGAGGACTATCCAAAGGTCTCCTCTGAGGTTAGGAAGGAGAGGAGGAGGACAATCCAAAGGTCTGCTCTGAAATTAGGAAGGAGAGGAGGAGGACAATCCATAGGTATGCTCTGAGGTTAGGAAGGAGAGGAGGAGGAGGACAATCCAAAGGTCTGCTCTGAGGTTAGGATGGAGAGGAGGAGGAGGACAATCCAAAGGTCTGCTCTGAGGTTAGGAAGAAGGAGAGTACAGGGCTGTGAAAACCAGAAAAAGGAATTCCAAGACAAAGAAAATGAAGCAGTTACTCGTTTTAGTAAAATTTTATAAAACAGAAAATAAGAAAACTTTTTTTTGCCAGTTTTAAGAAAACATTTTTTATGTTTAGTTTTTTTTTGGTCATTTATAGCATAAAACAAAATCCCAGAGATGAATAAATCCCACCAAAAGAAAGTGCAATTTGTGTGAAAAAATGATACAAATGTCATATAGTACAGTGTTACATTCCAGAGTAATTGTCATTGGAAGTGTGAGAGCTCTGAAAGCTGAAAATTGTCCAGGGCTGGAAGGGGGGAAAGTACCCTGTACTGAGGGGGTTAAATGAAAATGACATTATGGCCACTAGATGGAGCCAATGATCATATGAAATAAGAACATGGCCAAAACTTGTCACAGCTGGGTGAAGGCTCCTCACATTCCTTCAGATGATGTTTTTTTTAAATAGACCTCCAAGTGTTTGTGAAATCTCCCACCACAAAATGTACTCAGCCAATCACAGGGCAGGACTCCATTTTTATTCTTCTCCTGTCATCAATGACCAACCTGGTCCCACACTTCATCCATGTCTTTGGGGACCTCTGATCTCCTTATGAACTGTTTCTTCCATGATGAAGATCAGCCATGGAGTATATCTGAGGTGTATATCAGGGTGTGCTTCTTCCCCACATGAGAGCTGGGATGTCCAGCAACATTCATCTAGAAGACATTTCCCGCACTCAAGGCACTAATACACCTCCAAGGTTGTGTGGGATCCCTGATGTACAGGAAGACAGGACTTCAGTGAGGAACATTTCCCTCACTCAGGACAGGAAAGTGGCTTCTCCCGCATGTGAGATCTCTGATGTCTGGAAAGACTGGACTTCGCCATAAAACATTTCCCACACTCAGGACAGGAATATGTCTTTTCAACCCACATGAGACTTCTGATGTCTGACAAGTTTTGATTTTTCTACAAAACATTTACAACACTCAGGACAGGAATATGGTTTCTCTCCTGTGTGCAATTTCTCATGATAATAAAGATTGGACTTATTTGAAAAACACTTCCCGCACTCAGAACAGAAATATGGCTTCTCCCCTGTGTGAGATCTCTGATGTTTGTACACACTGGACTTATCTGAAAAACATTTCCCACACTGAGGACAGGAATACGGTTTTTCCCCTGTGTGAGATCTCTGATGCTTGGAAAGATAGGACTTCTCTGAAAAACATTTCCCGCACTCAGAACAGGAATGTGGCTTCTCCCCCGTGTGAGATCTCTGATGTATGTGAAGACTGGACTTATCTGAAAAACATTTCCCACACTCAGGACAGGAATACGGCTTCTCCCCCTTGTGAGATTTCTGATGACGACAAAGACTGGACTTATTTGAAAAACATTTCCCACACTCAGGACAGGAATACGGCTTCTCCCCCGTGTGAGATCTTTTATGCACATTAAGATGGTACGTAGAATGGAAACCCTTCCCGCACACAGGACAGGAGAGCCTCTTCCCTGTTGGAAGGCCGGCCCGTCCCGCACAGTCTGAGGTTCCTCAGGATACGAGGAATCTGATGGTCCATCTACACTGGGTGGTGCCGGATGGACATTGGAGGGAGCCGGGTTTTCTCCTGGACTATACTGTGTGATGTCCTCATCTTCTACTTTCCAGTCTGGAGACAAAGTGAGACAATCCTCGGAGGTTTTCCTCATCTCCCGGCCATGGACTAAAATACAAAGACAAAGAGGATTAAGACAGGAGCTGATTGGTTTCCCCAAACCTGGATGTGGTATACTTGGACAGAGGGGTGGCAGTGGACATGGTACACTTGGACAGAGGAATGGCGGTGGATGTGGTATACTCGGACAGAGGGGTGGCGGTGGACTTGGTATAACTGGACAAAGGGGTGGCGGTGGACGTGGTATACCTGGACAGAGGGGTGGCGGTGGACGTGGTATACCTGGACAGAAGGGTGGTGGTGGATGTGGTATACTTGGACAGAGGGGTGGCGGTGGACGTGGTATACTTGGACAGAGAGGTGGTGGTGGACGTGGTATACGTGGACAGAGGGATGGCGGTGGACGTGATATACTTGGAAAGAGGGATAGCTGTGGTATACTTGAACAGAGGGATGGCGGTGGACGTAGGATACTTGGACAGAGGGGTGATTGTGTATGTGGTATACTTGGACAGAGGGGTGGCGGTGGACGTGATGTACTTGGACAGAAGGGTGGCGGTGGACGTGGTATACTTGGACAGAGGGGTGGGGTGGACGTGGTATACTTGGACAGAGGGGTGGCGGGGGACGTGGTATACTTGGACAGAGGGGTGGCGGTGGACGTGGTATACTTGGACAGAGGAGTGGTGGGGGATGTGGAATACTTGGACAGAGGGGTGGTGGTGGACGTGGTATACTTGGACAGAGGGGTGGAGGTGAACGTGGTATACTTGGACAGAGGGGTAGCTGTGGACGTGGTATACTTGGACAGAGGGGTGATGGTGGACGTGGTATACTTGGACAGAGGGGTGGCGGTGGACGTGGTATACTTGGACACAGTTCCCAACACACGGCTAATGTGTAAAGTAAAGTCTATGGGCTGGAAAAATCTGAATGTAAATGGATAGAAAACTGGCTAAAAGATTGTATTCAGAGAGTAGTGGTTAATGATTCATACTCTGAATGGTCTAGGGGTGTCAGTGGTGTACCCCAAGGTTCAGTGTTATTAGTGGGGTACCCCAAGGTTCAGTGTTATTAGTGGGGGACCCCAAGGCTCAGTGCTATCAGTGGTGTATCCCAAGGTTCAGTGTTATTAGTGGGGGACCCTAAGGTTCAGTGTAATTAGTGGGGGACCCCAAGGCTCAGTGTTATTAGTGGGGGACCCCAAGGTTCAGTGTTATTAGTGGTGTATCCCAAGGTTCAGTGTTATTATGACACAATTCGCAAAGACATCGCTGTAACTCACACTCCCTCTCAACCCGTCCCCTCTCACACAGCTACCCCCTCATCCCCCCCACCCCCTCGACATAACCCGCAGGGACTTCATCACTGCTCAAACTCCCTCCAACCCCATTCCCCCTCACTCAGTAACCCCCTCATCACCCCTCTCCCACGGCCCCACCACTGCTCTGACCTCCACTTCCACCCCACCCTACATTCCTCATACTGAAGCCCCCCCCCCAACACTTTACACCTTTGACCTTACTACCATCAAGGAAGTCTCCAAGATCCTCTCTGATGCCCGCCTCACCACCTGCCCCCTCGACCCTATCCCCTCACAACTCCTATGACCTCCCTCCCCCTCCATCCTACGCTCCCTCACCCACATCTTCAATCTCTCCCTCTCCTCCGGCACTTTGCCCTCCCCTCTGAAACATGCACACATCACCCCCATACTTAAAAAGCCCTCCCTGGACCCCAATGACCCGAACAATCTCAGACCCATCTCCCTGCTCCCACTTACATCTAAACTCCTCCGCCTCGTCTACACCCGCCTATGCTCTCACCTCAACGACAACAACCTCCTCGATCCCCTACAGTCTGGCTTCCATCCCCTACACTCCACCAAAACTGCCTTACTCAAACTCTCCAACGACCTTCTAACCGCCAAAGCTAATGGCCACTATTCAGTGCTCCTACTCCTTGACCTCTCTGCGGCCTTCGACACAGTCGACCACCCCCTCCTCCTCAAAAAAACTACACTCCCTCGGCCTCAGAGATTCTGCTCTCTCCTGGCTCTCATCCTACCTGTCACAACGCTCTTTCAGCGTTACCTATAATGCTACCACCTCCCCCTCACTCCCCCTCTCTGTTGGGGTCCCTCAAGGTTCCGTCCTCGGGCCCCTTCTCTTCTCCATCTACACCTCCTCCCTTGGCCAACTCATACACTCTCACGGCTTCAACTACCACCTCTATGCCGACGACACACAAATCTATCTCTCAACCCCCCACCTCACCCCCTCGGTCTCCACCCGAATCACACACCTACTGAGCGACATATCAGACTGGATGTCACTCCACTTCCTTAAACTGAACCTCTCCAAAACCGAGTTTCTTGTCTTCCCTCCCAGCCCGGACACCACCCCCCATTGACTTCTCCATCACATCCAACAACGCTACCATCAAACCCGCCCCGCAGGCCAGAGTACTTGGTGTCATTCTGGACTCCAACCTATCCTTCCAGCCCCAAGTCCAATCTTTAACAAACTCGTGCAGACTCCACCTCCGCAACATCGCCAAAATACGCACGTTCCTAACCCCATAAACCACTAAACAGCTCATCCACTCCCTCATCATATCACGACTCGACTACTGCAACTCCCTCCTCACTGGCCTGCCTCACCGCTGGCTATCCCCGCTTCAGTCCATCCTGAATATGGCTGCCAGACTCATTCACTTTTCCAACCGCTCCATCTCCGCCACCCCCCTCTGCCAATCCCTCCACTGGCCTCCACTCAGTGTCCTCCACCCCCCTCTGCCAATCCCTCCACTGGCTTCTGATTGCGCAACGGATCAAATTCAAAATCCTAACACTGACGTACAAAGCTGTCCACCATACTGCCCCGAACTACATCACCGACCTAATATCCAAGTACCGCCCAACACGCGCACTCCGCTCCTCACAAGACCTCCTTCTCTCTAGTTCCCTGGTCTCCTCCTCCCATGCCCGCCTCCAGGACTTCTCCAGGGTGTCACCCATCCTCTGGAACTCCCTGCCCCAACCCATCAGATTATCACCTACTCTCCTCTCCTTTAGGCGCACCCTGAAAACCCATCTCTTCAGGGAAGCCTACCCCACCCCCTGCTAACTTGCCGACCTCCTCCACTCTTCCTACCACTCCATCCCCCACAGCTATCTCCTCCTGTGCCACCATCCCCTCCCTCCTAGATTGTAAGCTCCAAGGAGCAGGGCCCTCGATCCCCTCATGTTTTGCATTGTATTGGTATTGTTCTGTCACATGTTCTGTCCCCCTCTGTAATGTACAGCGCTGAGCGAACTATTGGCACTTTATAAATACTGTATAATAATAATATTAGTGGTGTACCCCAAGGTTCAGTGATATTAGTGGGGGACCCCAAGGTTCATTCTCAGTGGTGTCCCCAAGGTTCAATGTTATTAGTTGGGTACCCCAAGGTTCAGTGGTATTAGTGGGGTAACCCAAGGCTCAGTGTTGGGACCCTTACTTTGCAATCTATATATACGATATGGTGTCAGGGATTTCAGTCTTTGCAGATGACACCAAGCTGTGCCATGGAAAAAAGTCCTTACAGAATGTCTCCAACTTACAAGCCGACCTCAATGCTCTGTGTAATTGGGGGACTATGGGGCCAATGAGGGTTAATGTTGATAAATGTAAGGTTCTGCACTTGGGGGATAAGAATATGTATGCATCATACATAATAGGAGGGGTACAACTGGGGGGGGGCAATGGTGAAGAAGGATCTGGGGGGTCAATGTTGGAGAAGGATCTGAAGGGGTCAATGGTTGAGAAGGATCTGAGGGGGTCAATGGTGGAAAAGGATCTGGGGGGCAATGTTGGAGAAGGATCTGAAGGGGTCAATGGTGGAGAAGGATCTGAGGGGGTCAATGGGGGAGAAGGATCTGGGGGGTCAATGGTGGAGAAGGATCTGGGGGAGTCAATGGTGGAGAAGGATCTGGGGGGTCAATGGTGGAGAAGGATCTGACGGAGACAATGGTGGAGAAGGATCTGGGGGGTCAATGGTGGAGAAGGATCTGGGGGGTCAATGGTGGAGAAAGATCAGGTGGGTCAATGGTGGAAAAGGATCTGGGAGGGTCAATGGTAGAGAAGGATCTGGGGGGCAATTGTGGAGAAGGACCTGGAGGGGTAGGGGTCAGTGGTGGAGAAGGATCTGGGAGTTCTAGTAGATCACAAGCTTAATAACGGCAGCAATGCCAAGATGCGGTTTCTAAAGCGAACAAAATCCTCTCTTGTATTAGGAGAGGTATAGACTCCAGAGAGAGAGCTATCACCCCCCCCCTCCCCCCCGGTACAAATCATTAGTGACACCTCATCTGGAATGTGCAGTTCAGTCTTGGGCTCCAATTCAAAAAAAGAACATTGGGGAACTGGAGGAAGTACAGAGAAGGGCAACCAAACTGATACGAGGCATGGAGGAGCTCAGCTATGAGGAAAGATTAGGGGAACTGAATGTATTCTCCACTGAGAAGAGGAGATTATGGGGGGATATAATCTCCATGTATAATACATAAGAGGGGATATGATCTCCATGTATAATACATAAGGGATATGATCTCCATGTATAATATATAAGGGGGGGATATGATCTCCATGTATAATACATAAGGGGGGATATGATCACCATGTATAATACATAAGGGGGGATATGATCTCCATGTATAATACATAAGGGGGGATATGATCTCCATGTATAATACATAAGGGGGGATATGATCTCCATGTAAAATACATAAGGGGGATATGATCTCCATGTATAATACATAAGGGGGGATA